CCCTCTTTCTGGCCTGCTCTTTGTTCTATGGATCATGATGTGAACCAAATCTTCGTTAAACAGGTTTTCATATTACTTAGATCTTCATAACATAAAGAGACTTTCATTTTAATCTTGTAAAATCTGGCCTGGTATTTCTTGACAAGTTCATTATAAAGACATCATTCCATTTTCAAAATTCATTACATCTTCTTCTTATTTTCATTTTCAGAGAGAGAATAACCAAGCCACTCCAGAAATAAACAGAACAAAAATAATTGACACATGCAAATAAATTATAATATTTTTGCTATAGTTTATTCTAATATTAGACTAAATTTTAAATGTAATGATACTAAATCTTACTTCTAAATTATAATATTTTTTAACATATAAATAACAATCTCTGAGGTTGGCAAGGGTACAATATGACGTCCATGGGCCACAAAGCTCACCAAGTCAAAACTCTTTTCTTGACAAATAAATTTGTACATAGCCTAAATGTTGCATTGTCATTCCAAATTTAAGCATATCATTGCAATCGCAGCCCTATTGTACTTGAGAAGATGATAAAGATTTCTACATATTTTCATTTTTGATTCCCCACTGTGACTTCATACAGGTACTAGCTCAAAACCCCTTTACTTGATCAAAACAGAGTTGGAACTGGCCATCTCTGGCTCTTGAAAAGGTGAGAGAAATGCAGAATGTGTGACATACACATATATACATCATGAAGACAAACTGGTATAGACGCTGGACAATCACCAATCAAAATTGCTCACTTGAGCCTCTGATTCAGTAAGCAAAAAATCTTCAGAAAATAGGTGATGAATGATGCAATAATGAATAAAAAAAGAATGTTAAAACTTGTACAAAAATATTTTTAAAAACCATTAAAATCAACTACACAAAAACAATCCTTCATAATTAAAACCCCCAAAACAAACACTTGTCTGCATCCTGGTTAAAGAAACATAATGTTCAGGAATATTGTTTTTGTCATTATTATTTCACTTCTGTTTACACAATGGGAAAATCAATATTTTCTCTGAAATTTTCAACAAAAATAATATAAATAAATTTCAAATGTGTTGTGAACTTTTTACAATTTTTGTAAACTTATGCACTGTTCAATATTCTGCACTATGAAACTGCATCTGCTTTATCCTTCCGTTTGGTCAGTGGCAAATCTTGGCTGTCATATCTCTCTAAATAAAATAAGAAAACAAATTAGGCTTTCTAAATGTGAAGGAGTTATGTCCTACTCCGAGCATTAGGATTATTTACTGAAAATTATTTCTATAAATGTAGATGGTATTTTTTAACTAAACCTTATGAAAACAAATAAAACTTACCAAAGGTTCTAATTCTTTTTTGTCAACAAGGTTATACTCTGTTACAAAGTAATAGAAGTGTTTGTAACATGTGTTCACATGAGCTTCCTGAAAAATGAAAAGTTGAACATATAACATTGGCATTAGGCTATAAGAGAAAACAAAAATTCTATGGGCCACAAATTGTTCAAAGTCACCATTCTTTTCTGACACAAGAATTTGAACATGTACAAAAATGAAGTTTCTACTTGTCTTTTCTAAATTACTGTAGATCTGACACTATATTTTAACAACACTAATTTGTTTTCACGAGATATTATAAGCGAGCCAAAATTTTCGCAAGCTATGGTTTTGTTTTATATAATCCTTATCAATACAAATGTAGGCTAGAATTAAATTTTGGGAGTGGGGGTTGGGGGGGGGGAGAAACAGACTTGCATAATTACACCCCCCCCCCCAAAAAAAAAATTCTTGCAAATAAAAAATGATATACATTGATTAACAATTTTAATACCAGTACAACATTCCAGTGGTTCTTGAGAAGACTTTTTAATGATCCCATCAAATAATCACTTTTTTCTTAACTATCTTCTTTTTAAGAAGTTGTGGCTCATAAATTAAACAAACTTGAATCATCAAATTGGAAAAGTTTAGAAGACAGGTCAGACTGACAGGTTGAATGACAGAAAACAGCTTACATGTAAGTAGGCTTGGATACTGGTGAGGTAAGAAAAAAGAAATCAAGCCCTAGGAGGCACATTGTATTAAAAGTACAAAAACTAAATGAATTTCACCTGGCTTTTTTTTTTAATCTAATGGATTTTTTAAACTTTTTTTTGGGGGGGGGGGGGGGGGCAATATCTCATTTTTTTGGAAGGAAGTTTTCACTCCCACTTCTTTACAAAAAATTTACTTAAGGCTATTCAATTACTTGACATATTTATATATAGGCCTAGAAATTGACATGAATTTCAGTAAAATAGGATTCATTGAGGTATCTTAGCCATTTGACACAGTAAGAAAAAGAAGTTGCAAACTTACAATTAAATCCATGCATCAAAAACCAGAAAGGAAAGCTCATTAATATGTGGATTTTTAAAAAAAAATTGAAATAAGATGAAGACAGTGAAGAGTGATCAATCTATAAAACCCTAAAAACAATATCTCTGAAGTGGCCGAAAACAAGGGCTCCTGGAAATTCCAGAGGTGGAATCAGGTGTCTCTGAGGAGCAAGCATCCCCTGTCAGTTGGTCACACTAGCAGTAAGCCCCATGTATTGATTAGGTAGATAGAATAATTGGTAGTCAAATTAAGCATAAAAACCAGAAGTCTCTGTCGAGACTGAAGCTCTACTGGTTTGAACTTATAGCAAAGGAAGAGAAGAGTACTTAAGCAGCTGGGATTTGAAACTTTACAACAGCAATATACAGAATAATGATCGTTGATAAAGTCTCTTTATGTTCTTAGTGTAGTCTACTTGTGTGCCAAGTTATATTGAAATCAGACCAAAACTGTAGGAGGAGTAGCATTTTGAAACAATTTTACAGACATTTCAATTTTTAGTAACCACAGCAACACAGTTCATCAAAATTAAAATTTGATACACAGAATTATGTATCTTAGTGTATTCTACTTGTGTGCCAAGTTATATTGAAATCAGACCAAAACTGTAGGAGGAGTAGCATTTTGAAAGAATTTCACAGAAATTTCTATTTTTAGTAACCACCGCAACACCGTTCATCTAAATCAAAAACCGATATACAGATTTATGTATCTTAGTGTATTCTACTTGTGTGCCAAATTATACTGAAATCAGACCAAAACTGTAAGAGGAGTAGCATTTTGAAAGAATTTCACAGAAATTTCTATTTTTAGTAACCACGGCAACACCGTTCATCTAAATCAAAAACCGATAAACAGAATTATGTATCTTAGTGTATTCTACTTGTGTGCCAAGTTATACTGAAATCAGACCAAAACTGTAGGAGGAGTAGCATTTTGAAAGAATTTCACAGAAATTTCTATTTTTAGTAACCACGGCAACACCGTTCATCGAAATCAAAAACCGATACACAGAATTATGTATCTTAGTGTATTCTACTTGTGTGCCAAGTTATACTGAAATCAGACCAAAACTGTAGGAGGAGTAGCATTTTGAAAGAATTTCACAGAAATTTCTATTTTTAGTAACCACGGCAACACCGTTCATCGAAATCAAAAACCCGATACACAGAATTATGTATCTTAGTGTAGTCTACTTGTGTGCCAAGTTATACTGAAATCAGACCAAAACTGTAGGAGGAGTAGCATTTTGAAAGAATTTCACAGAAATTTCTATTTTTAGTAACCACGGCAACACCGTTCATCGAAATCAAAAACCGATACACAGAATTATGTATCTTAGTGTAGTCTACTTGTGTGCCAAGTTATATTGAAATTAGACCAAAACTGTAGGAGGAGTAGCATTTTGAAAAATTGTTTACAGACAGACGGACAGACGGACGGACGCCGGACGCATTACTATCGCATAAGCTCTTCTGGTCTCTGACCAGTAGAGCTAACAAAGGCCTCACAATTAATATAGAATTTGTGGATCAAAATTCCGATTGATAGGTTGGATTTACTGACAATGTCAGTACAACAGGGCTGCATAACAACAACAGTAAAATGTTTTTTGAAATCCCTGTAACATCAAAGTATTTATCAGTAGCTTGCCTTAGTTTAAATGTATGTTTGAACTTGAGGTTTTTTTTTTTACTTTAATATATGTACGACTATGTCGTATATCAAACTTGATTTTTGACTTGCATATTATATGATTAGAAGATGTTGTCTTAATAAACCTAAAGACATCTAAGGCATATTATTTTTTCCTTGTTACATTTAATTTAACTGTAAAACCATCAGTAATTTCCTTTTGAGGTCAAAAGCTTGTTAATAGTATTATACCTAAATATTATCCTGGTATAACTTCAACTACATTCTTGTCAATATATTAAATATACATATATACTGTATATTTCTTTTGCTGGCCATAGAATAATAAAACAGATATTGGAAACCAGGTGTTTTCTTTGAAGACACTCTCTTTATAATAATTCAAGGTTCATATAGCTATGCATGTGTTACTGCTTGAATGTTGAAAAAGTTAGGGTTCTAAATTAATTTGGCTTGACTTTGTAATAATGCAAACAAAAGGTGAATACCAAGTAGTTATTCTAATTTATACAAAGTCTGCAAAATAGTAAAAATGTGATCTTGTCTGCAACAAAGGAATTTATCGTTTAGAAGTGCTTTATAAAATTTAGTCAAGATCAGCTGTAGTGTATTAAAAGTTGGAAAATGTAGGTAGAATATATAGTGGAATGAAATAGTCACAATCGATTTTATGTTTTGGATAAGAATTTTTTCAAAAAATAAATATACATTTAAGGAATGAAGCTTATTTCAAGGATATAACATAACTTGGGGCACATTACACTTTATAAACCGCTTCACAGTTTAGTGGCTGTTTATAAAAAAAAAAGCATAAACTGCCCCAAGTTATGTTATATCCTATAACATAAGTTAAAAAATAAGCACCATTCCTTATAATTTAATTTCAGAATAGACAATGAGACCACTTTTCCTCCAGAAAAGGTCTTCAAATCGAGCATATTTTAAAAGTAACGTTAAGCAGAGTAATACTTTTTGAAGTATCTCACTGTGACGAAGGCAACTAATGTTATATACGAAATGGATTAAATCTTCTACCCTAATAAATGATGTTTTACACTTAAAAGTAAATTATTTGATTAAGTCTTAGTGATCCTCCAAAAAATCCACCCTGGTTTCTATAACTGTTTTATGACATCTTGACCATTAACTCTACAAAAGCCTGGACATTAAAAGATCAAATATATTAACATTCTGCAAACGAGTATCTTAACCAACCATTACCTATATACCGGTATATATTGCACAAAGAAGCACAAGTTTAGTAATGAAATAAATCAGTACTGCTGTGAAATGCTGCTACCAAATAAGTACACCTACATAACTAATGATAACTTTAAATAAATCTGATGTTGATTTAACCAAAAAAAAAAAAAATCAGAAAATGAGTTATTTCAATGGTACATGTATCACTTATCAACACTACAGAAATAATACAAATGCATTGAAATATTCTCCCTTTCACGCTGCTCACAGTTGGGCAAAACGGATGAATTAAAAAAAAAAACTGTGAAATTACTCTGACTGGGTGAATTTAAAACAGCTAGGGCAACTTTTTGCATGTGTGAAAGAGCAAAATAACACAGGGCTAAAATATCTCTGTATATAGTATAATCTCACAGATGGCTATAAGCTTGCCCCACAATCTCAGTAAGATTGATCAACATGATACATTTCTGTATACAGTCAGTAACAATTAACATGTAAATGATATATTTTCTCCAGGAACATAGTAGACAAAAGAAGATGTGTCCCAAAAAACTTAATTTTCATCCCAGAGTAAAACTCTTAAAAATTGTCAAACTCGCATTTTATCATTACCGTAAATATCTTTGAGGCATCTTTATTTACTTTTTTTTTCATGGTTTAATATCAAATTTTCCTTCTCTTGTTTGAACAAAGAACTTTATTCGGTAATAACCAATATTTCCCCCAAAATCAAACTTTGATGGAGATATATCTAATTAAATTCTTAAACAGGGGAGTATATGCTGACTTCAAAGCACTGAATATTTTCATAAGTAATGACGCCATATGTACGTAATGACGTCACAAACATGACGTAAATTTCAGTTTTTTTATGAATTTTACAGAAAAAATGTACATATTTCGTCGATATTTTGAGTAAAAGTCACCGAGCGCATGTGTGTTCAGGATCAATATTTTGATATAATGTGTAGAATGGTAATATCAATGAAATATGTCAATATTGTTCCTGAACAAACTTGCGCTCTATAAATTTTAAAGCTAAAATCGTTGAAATTTTGTCCATTTTGTCCTCTTTCTGAAAAAGGACATAAAATCGGACTAGTTTGTGACATCATAAAAACAAAAATTGTGAATACACTGCTTTGACAGTGACACTATAATATAAATCTGTTAATTTATATTTCTCATACAATTTATTGAATTCAGCAGATTTCAGGAAGTTTTCAAAATTTGACTTTTGTGGGGGCAAATATATGCAATATACCGCATATAGTTCTTTAAATGTTATCATCACTTCTGAGTACTGTACCAGGCAGAATCAATCTTATGTCATTGTCACAGTCATTCTTAAATGGATTGTTACTCCAATTAAAAAAAATATGGAAAGTGGTTTCTATACCAATTTCCAATATTGATTTAAATAGGCTATGTGCCAACAATATCTTCAAACGTTAATTTGTACCTACTGCATGGACAAAGAAATATTGCCAGCACTCAAATTTCACAAATAAACCAATGAAAGCAGCTGGCATTTCAATATCAAGAAAAAATAAATTTAATGTATAATATGTGATGATGTTATAATCCTGCATAATCTTAACAGAAATACAGAAAAAAATAAATAACATAAACCACAGCAAAATGATATCTGTCTTAACTCCAATACTTACAGCACTGAGGGCTACCAACTTGTCAAAATGGTGGATATATACATGAACAAAAACCCTAAAGAGACGTGTCAGAATCTTCTTGACTATTTGTTGATAGTTTTTAGGGAAAGGTACACCTACAAAAATTTGAAAATATCTTTGATTTATTCCATATTTGTCTCTAGCAGCAGCCAAGTCTACCTAGCTGAGCCCTACAAACTATAGCTAGACTAGATGCAGTCTGTACACGTGCTGTAGCTGTAAATGAGGTTAAAGGTTAAGGTAGTTCATGCACACATGCAAGAGTGTCAGGGAACAGAAGGGGGCACAAATCATGTGGAAATGTATTACATTAAAAAAATATATATTGTTACTGGTAAACACCCCCACATCATTTGTAGCTCTGTTCTCAGATTAACTAAAAGCAGCAATGAAATAGAGTGCACTCTGTGATGTTCCTTGTCTGCTAACAATGCTGCATAGCACATCTAAAAAAATGTCCAGAAGCATCGGTCATTTGATCACCAATTAAATTACTGATCACCGATTAAATTACGAGATAAAAACTTTCAATATTGTTATTGATAAATGACATATGTATTTATTGTTTTCTGTGTTACACATGTAGTTTTTAAAACATAAACATTTTAATTAGAACAAATGACTAATGACATGTGGACATCTCTCCATTGGTTGCCATGACTACACTGTTGCTGGCAACAGCCAATCTACTCACAGCTCCTAGTGACACCAGCTTGTCAAAATGGTGGATGTACACATGCACAAACACTCGAAACAGACGTGACAAGACTTTCTTTACAGTTGGTAAAAATGGCTTTGGAAATGGCACACCTGCATCACATTGTGTAATATGTAATTTGATTTGTATACAAGAGGCCCAAGGGCCTTGAATCGCTCTTCTGATAAATTGTACAACCTATCACTTGTATTTGAAGCCTCTAACCCTAAGTATCCTAAAACCTAAGTTGCATCAACTGATAAAAAGTTTGATGATTCATAGCCAATTAGGACTGAAGATATTTTAATAAAGCTATAAAAAAAAACCATGAGTAGGTCACGGTGACCTACTTTAAGATTGAAGTTTTCTGAGGACTCAAGATGCATTAATAGACAAACTAAGATTGAAGATTCTAAGCCAATATGTATTTGAGATATTCAAAAGTAGGTCACCTTGACCTACTTTTTGATCTACATTCTTGGAAAACCCAAGATGCCTCAACTGACAAAGTTTGATGATTCTAAGCCAATAAATACCTGAGATATTCAAAAGTAGGTCACTGTGACCTACTTTTTGGTCAACATTCTCTGAAAACCCAAGAGGCATAAACTAACAAAGTTTGATGATTCTAAGCCAATAAGTACTGGAGATACTTATATATAGCCATAAAATGTCAAAAGTAGGTCATCGTGACCTACTTTTTGGTCAACATTCTCTGAAAACCCAAGATGCATACACTGACAAAGTTTGATGATTCTAAGCCGATAAGTACTGGAGATACTTAAATATAGCCATTAAATGTCAAAAGTAGGTCATTGTGACCTACATATTTGTTGACATTTATCAGAGGCCTAAGATGCATCTGCTGACCAAGTTTGATAATTCTAAGGCAATAAATACCTGAGATATTCAAAAGTAGGTCACTGTGACCTACTTTTTGGTTGACATTCTCTGAAAACCCAAGAGGCATAAACTAACAAAGTTTGATGATTCTAAGCCAATAAGTTCCAGAAATACATAAATATAGCTATTAAATGTCAAAAGTAGGTCACTGTGACCTACTTTTTGGTCCACATTCTCCGAAAACCCAAGATGCATCAACTGACAAAGTTTGATGATTCTAAGCCGATAAGTACTGGAGATACATAAATATAGCCATAAAATATTGAAAGTAGGTCACCGTGACCTAATTTTTGGTCATCACTCTCCGAAAACCCAAGATGCATCAACTCACAAAGTTTGATGATTCTAAGCCAATAAATACCTAAGATACTGAAATATAGCCATAAAATGTCGAAAGTAGGTCACAGTGACCTACATTTTGGTCAACATTTTTCAGAGTCCCAAGATGAATCAGCTGACAAAGTTTGATGATCATTGGTCTGAAGGTTATCAAAATATGCCTTTTAAACAATTTGAAAACAAATGCCTGCAAAATTCTAAAAGTAGGTCATAGTGACCTACTTATACTTAAATATGTTTTAAGGTCCCAAGATGCAGCAACTTACAAGATTTGATGATTCTAACCCTCTCAGTGTCTGAAATAATGGGATGAAATGTTTTAAAAAGGATAAGTCATAAAGTTCAAAAAGTAGGTCACGGTGACCTACTTTTAAGTTGACATTGTTCAAGGACCCAAGATGCATCAACTGACAAAGTTTGATGATCATAGGCTTTAAAGTGTCCTAAATATGCCTTCAAATCAATTTGAAAAAAAATGCCCGCAAAATTTAAAAAGTAGGTCACCGTGACCTACTTTTGAGTTAACATGATGTGAAGTCCTAAGATGCATCTACTTACAAGATTTGATGATCCTAGTCCTTATAGTAAGCAAAATATAGACATTTTCATTAATTGTAAATTTAGGTCAACTTTGAAGTGACCTTGAGACCACGCCCTTTGCCCCAGGGTCATGCCTTGAACAATTTTTAATCTTCAACATATCCTGATCATTGTATGTAAGTTTGGTGAAAATCTGCCTAGTGGTTCTGGAGAAGAAGATTTTTTTGCAACCAGTACTTTTGGTTTTGTTTTCCTGATTATCTCCCCTTGTTTTAGGGTCCCAACCCTTATTTTAGTATAAATGGTAGCCCTTGGGCCAAGGATACCCTGTGACAAATTTGACACAGATTGGCCAAGGGGTTCTTGAGTTATGGCCCATATTCTAAAAAGTTAACGCACACCGCACACCGCACGACGCACACCGCACAAATGGCCATAGCATTAGCTCTTTGAGCCTTTGGCTCAGAAGAGCTAATAAACTGTTGTACAATTACTGCTGATTCTGAGGTCAATATGGTTTAGCCACCCACAGAGTATAAATTTCACAAAAAGAGCAAGATGAATAGGGCACTTCCAGAATATTGCCAAAGATATTGAAGAAGACTAAATTTTTGAATTCATGTACATAAAATGTACCCGTTAATAAAATAAAAGAGTCACTTATTTACTAATTTTAATTCCAACCAAAATAGTTGAGAGAGTGAATAACTCCTGTACATGCATCATGAAAGATATCCTAAGGAACATTTTCAAAAAAAATAAAAAAAATTAACAAATATAGGGGGTTCAATACTGCAGTAGCTATAAATGTTTTGCATATAAAAAACAACAGTAATAATATTCATTATAAATGATACAAACTCACTGATTGATTCAGCACATTTTATGAGCGGAACAAAGCTACAGTAGATAAATATGATTTCTTTTATGTTTAATGTAACAAACTTCTAAGCTTTATGCTTTGGGTATTTACACTTAAATGGTATGGTGAAATGGTACACTGAAATGAATGTAATCTTTCAAATATTAATTGAATATTGTATGTTGATCATTTCAATTTCAACTTTATTCCCTCATTTTCTGATGCAGTGGTATATCTACCTGTATTTCAAAGACTCATAATTCGCAAATTTTCTGTACATTAATTGTACATAATTTCATTGTGTGTTTTAGATATTAATTACTTCTAACTTTGACTAGAAACATTTTTTTTCTTTTACAATAAGAGCATCAAAAAATGAATTTTTGTGAATAAAATGTCATTTATAGTAAATATAACAGTAACTCTAACATACATTATGACTTGTTACAGACAAGATATACTTTAAAGGACAGTAACATATAACAGAGCAAATTATTATCTGTGACAAGTCTATATCTACGGGGACTACATGCAACAAGAGGTTCATATACCACAATGCTCACCTGGGTCATAAATAATTTTACATCTTAGTTAACATATGCATTATTGTATGAATTTTAATGTTTAAAAATCCCAGTATTAGATTTTTTTTAAAACTCACTCTAAACTCAATTGGTGATGGAAGATGACAGCCTCGAATTCATGGATTTTGAGGCTATGATTTAAAATATTAATGTAGTCTTGACGAGGAGGCATCCTTACTGATTTGTCTAATACTGCCTGCGCTATTCTTGAAGGAAGATTTATAAAAGATTTATGCCTGATGTAATTTTTTTTTATCTATTTTGCCCCCATTCTACTTCCTGAGTCATTACTTGAATCTACACTATAAAGTAATGCTTGCATATCAATATGGTAAACTATGGTCATTGCTCCTGAGAAGAAGATTTTTTTTTACAGATTTCCCTATGTATCCCCGCATTTTTCAATGACCCTGGCCTGTTTCTTTACTATCTCTCCCTATATAAGGGCATGGCTCTTCTGTTGAAGAAATTTATATCATGAATGCTTTGTGTCAATTTTAATTTGTTCTTTAGTTTTAGAGAAGAAAATGAATTGTGAGAAAATAACAGACAACAAATCACCAGAGGCCTGTTAAACAGAGCGAACTTTCATGAGTGCTCGCCAAAATTATACCTCCAATAGAAATGTTCGCGAGTGCTCGCTCTGTTGAACAGACCTCAGATGACAGATAGACAGACTGACATCCTAACTTTTCAATCAGAAAAGCTCACCTGTGCCTTTAAATCAAGAGACTTGACATCAAATCATTCTCTTTATAGTGCATAGATATACATACTCATTCAACAACTAATTCACAAATATATTGCTAAACATCAATTTTCTTGATAATTCTTTACAATTATGCCCATACTGCAATTAACTTTAAACTGATAAAAAAGTAGGGATCACAACTTCTAACTGGTTAACAAATTACACTTTTCTCAATATTCCCATCACCATGCAGGTATAGAATAAATAAAGATTAAAGGGGATTAAAACCCCCCCCCCCCCCCCAATTTAAATATGTGTAAAATGAACAGATGGACAGACAGATAGATCTTGCATTTATAGATTCAGGTGAAATAAACAAGACACTCATCATAATAGTCCTTACCACACATATTGGAGTAATGGGGACCTGCAGTTTTTTACTCTACTTTGGCCCCACTCTAACTCTCCAACTTTACCACATTTAAAGACGTTTATCATTATCAGTAAAACCAACATTGCCCTTTCTGAAGAATTTTTTCTGTCTTACATTGTGAGTTTGATACCTGAATTTGACCCATTCCTTTTGAGTCTATGATTTGAAGAGGGGGGGGGGTATCAAATGAATTAGGGAATGTTTGTAAATTATGATTTTATGTGTGAGTGTCTTTTTGAAATTTTCTCCTGTATATTCCCATATAAAATGTTATCCTAAACTCTTAAGGCAAACCCTACGTCTCTGAGTAAATTTTGAATCTTCACTACCTGAGGATACTTGCATATTAATATCATGCCCCTGTTTATCCATATCTTGAGAAGAATTTTTTTTAAAGATATATTTAAATGTCTTATTTCCAATTTCAATGGAAAACTTCGGTTCCCTTATGGTGGCCCATGTTATTCGAAAATTCATTGATCAATATTCATCCTTCCAACCAATTTAGATTTGTTAACCAGTAAGCAACTGCCAACCCTGCTTTAAAAGCCAATATACCAATATAATTTTTTTTTTAAATCACTTTTAAAACTTTACTAAACTGTTAAATTGCTATAATACTAACCCACTTTAACAGGGAATATATTTTCATCATTAATCTGTGCCTCCACCCACTCCATCAGTAATGCTATATAGTTAGGGGCAGGTAATGCTGTAGGCTTCTTGTATGTCTGCCCATCACACCAATGGTATTCATATCTATATAAAAATTACAATGCATGACAATTAAAACACATCAATTACTTCTGTTCTTTTCCAATATATACATACAGGATATTCAATGTTATGTAGTTTGAATTTAAAAGAATAATTTTCCTTCTGTCTTTGTCATTTCGTATATTCTGTTGCAGGCTGTGACATCATAGCCAAGCAATTACAAGATTGAAAATGTTAACATGCATATAAATAGCAATTGTAAAGGAAAAGCTTTGGTAGTATTGGACTGTATCAAGAGATTTAGCTGTTTACTAGTATTTACTTAAGTTATCTTATAAAAGAAAATGTTTTATTAATAGCACTCTTCATGAAACATGAACAGCCAGAGTTTCACCACACTTGAAATTTTCACTGTGAAAAATCTCTTTCAAAAAATATGTTTTATTTCATGGATAATTTTTTTCATTATTGAAAATGTATTAAATACATTTATTCTGATCATTAGATGGAGAAACTTGAACATTTTAATAATTACCTTAAAACATAGAAATATAATTACATAACAAATTTATATTGAACATCCCAAAGATACAAAGTTTCAAACTTGCCAATTATCTTTTATGAAGTTGACAGTTTTCTATAACTTTCAGTAACTTCATGGGTGACTGTATGGACAGAACCTAACTCTCCTGACTTACTTTGGTCCACCACTCATGGTGGGGCAGGTCTGTTCTGTGCAATATTCACACACTGTACCATATAATAAGTTTATTCTGTTGAAGAAATCCACAACTGTAAGTAAAAAAATAAACAGCTAATTACGATGCTAACATTGTTTATAATTTACTGGGGAATACCCATAAATGACTTATATGTTGCTTTATGTGCCATTGAGAATTTTTCACTACTATAGAGATATATCATTCACCATATATATTTTACACATGAAGGGCTACACAATTATAAGCACGCAGGGGCAATGAACAGAGAAAATTCTCTATCATGCAGAGACCTACTGTGAATCAGAATCTAGATTTTTAAGATTTAATCCAAAACACTGACTCCTGACTTTCAATGCTAATGACAGCCATCCCCCCCCCCCTCCCGGTCACTTAGTGAAGGCAGTCACTATATACAATAAATGTTTATATTTTTAGGCTGGACTTAAATCTTTGTGATATGGAATAGACAGAATAGAGTTATCCAACCATGTAGGCTACCCTGATTTGTATACTGCTGTCAGTAAAATCATTTAACTGTAGACTTTCATCAATGACACTTCACTCTTCATGCTTATCTAATGAAAACAAGTATTGTGAGTTTCATAAACAGGGCAATATAGACCTTTTTATGCTATAGGGGAAGTCACATGCACTGTATACAATGACTTGATTTATATTCACATTTATATACATTAATATGACAGCAGGAAAGATATTTGTGACGCGCCAAGCAAAAACCTCCCTTATCTCTATTATGACGTAACGTCAAAAGACGCGTCTAAAGTCAATAAGGTCAATGCGACGTAAAAACGCCTCCTCGAGAAAAAAACTCTCCCCTGCAGAACAATGGGATGTTGTTTTATTTATATGCTGAGAAAGATTCTTGGGTGTGGTTTGATGTAGTTTATTCTTTAAGAAGTTATTCTCCGTCAAGTATCTGTGTGACGTATCCTTTTCACAATTATTAAGAGTATATTTTTAAAGATGTCCAGTGATGGTTAAAAAGTTCCCGTAAGGCCGTTTTTAAAATGGAGTTTGTTTGCCGTCTTTCTATTCTTTTTTTTAAAAAAATTGCGTCGGTAGGTAGGTCGAATTTTTTGTCGGAAATGTTCAATATTGAATGAAGGCGTTTCTGAAACTAAAAAAATTGTTGTTGATTGGATGAGAAAATTCTGGAATAAATAATTTGGAGGTTTAAAAAAGATTTTAGTCGGTTCATCTTAAAATGTCAAATAAACAAGTTTTTATTAAAGATTTTTAAATTCAAGCTGCTAATTTCCAGCTGTTATATCGTGATGCACATGCAAGAAAAATTAAACAGGAGCTTTAAACTATGTAAGGTATCTTTTTTAAAATAGCGATGCAGTGAAAATTGACCTGAATTACCTTTCTTAGCTACCCAATTGATAACGCTGTGGTTTATATAAAAAAAATCGTACAAAAATTGTGCAATATTGAAATGTTACGTCAGGCGGATCAATGTGTTTTTTATGCAAGTGATTGTGACATAGGTAACCCAATTTTTTATGCAATAAAAAGCAATTTCTTATCCAATCAAATACCACGTTATAACCATAATTAAATCAAAGAAGTATATAATATTACATCTTTTTCACTTCCGTAGATGATGTAAGTTATAGAAAAATACATCGTCTTTGTTGCACTTTTGTGTGCAAGTAATAAGAACTGTACATAATTTTTGACGGCTTGCCAAGGATATTGATAAATATATGAATTGAAGTTTTAATTTAGTTTAAAAATGTAATTCTCTATAGATACGACACAGAGTATTTGACTTGGCTACTTCTTCCGGAATTAGTTTTTAGCTGTTGATTTAAAATTAATATTTTGAAGAAAGAGCTTTTGAGCTTCTCAATTCATTTTGTTATTGTTTAACACTTTCTCATGTTGTACGCATAAAAAGTAGGAAAAATTCGCTCCCGGTCATTCTCCTGTGCCTGCTCTATCTCTTTGGAAACTCGTAAATTTACAGTGCGGATGCTCGCATACACTGTACAGTGACTGTCCTACTTTCTACGATATTTTATGATTGAGAATGAAACAGATTGACATATGTTCATCGACATTTCCGGGGAAAAAATTAAACATTCCGTTATTTTGCTTCACTGTTATGTATTCATAACCCGTTTGTTGAGGTTACATGATACATCGTTAAAATTGATAGAAGTAATACATATGTTACAAATTAATACAAATTATCTGAACACTTTTAAAACATTCCAACCTAATATTATTTTACATAGGCGTCGGAACGGGGGGTGGGGGGGACTGGGGTATTTGGAAAAAAAAATTTGGTACTGAAGTTCGAACCTAACCCCCCCTCCCCCCCCCCCCCCCCCCCCCCCCCCAAAAAAAAATAGGATTTTCGTGTTTTTGAAAAGGACATCCCCCCCTTTCTTTTTCTTTTCTTTTTTTTTTGCTTGTCAGGTTTTTTTTGAAGGTTTAATTTATTTTTTACATTTAGCCCCCCCCCCCCACTTTCAATTTGCTTCCGACACCAATGTTTTACATGTTAGCATGATTTTTCTACCAAAGAAGAAAAAATAAGGTGAAGAGGTGACTTTAACGTTTTGGATTACTGAAAACAACATAATGTTACGCAGTCACCGGTGCTTTTTAAGCCCTTTTGAACTGAGAACAGAATAACAGTTTACATTAAACATTTTAAGAATTATAAATTTTCATTTTAATGATTTTATTTCAACCTTCAATATTAAGGGTATATTAAACCTGTAATAATTATTTCCCCGACAAAGATTTTACTACCAACATTTTATGATTTCACATCTACCTTGGAAAATAATAATCTTGTTTCCTTCTGTTGAATTGTTTATGCATTTCAATTTATGAAAGTTTGCCATACCAGTTACACGTAATTTAATACATGTAGCAAATTAAAACAATTTCAATATTTTTTTTTCCTGCAAAAGTCGCATTGTGCATACATGCCACCGTCGGAAACCCACGGTTTATCTCGTCTTGTGATAAGTAAAGACGAGATCACCCATGGGTTTCCGACGACGCATACATGCCTACATGTACAAGTATACAAGTAGATACGTATATGGGAGTTTTGTGCAAAATTATCAAAACGCTTTAGGTTTTAAGAGAAAGGATTTATCGTTACAATTTAAGATTGTACAAGTGTGCCTTGTTCTTGTCAAAGTCAATAAAGAACTTGTCTGATATTAGTTCAGGTAATTTATTAAGCGTGAATTTTCATAGCCGAGACACACACACCCCCCCCCCCTTTACGATAATGGTAGAATATGAAGAATGTGTTACCCATTCTCTTACTTTCTGTTGCAAGTTTGAACATGCATGTTTTAAACAATGCTAAAAAGCAACGAATATTTGATATGATTAAAATAAATCATAATGTGTGCATGTACTTTCTCAGGAAGGTAACGGTAAAGTTTGGGATAGACCTTATAGCCCATGTATAGAAATGAATGTAAATGAAGTTGTGGAGTGTGTTACTTGTGGGATTAATGTATATTCTGATATTGTGGTTTGTTATTCGGTTAGTATACAATAATCGGTCAGAATTAATTCATGGTCATCCTCATAATACATATAAATTGCAGAATTTCTTTTTCAAACCATATTTTTAAAAATATACATATTTTTTATTGGATGGGGTGGGTGTTACATTCTGATTTACTGAAAAGTATGCAAGTTAGTTACGAAATGATTCTTAACAAATTTCTTTTCAATAATTTAAGCATAAATATAAAATAAAAAATCGAGGGCCAGGAAAAATTAATCAAATGTTTAAAGATTTACAAGAAATAATGGTTTAAACTTTAATTTAACACTTTAAAATTTGATGCAGCTAATCTTAATTGTTTTTGATTTGAACACGCATTTATTGAGATATACAAAAGGATTGGAAACAAGTTTGACAACTTACAAGTTCCTCATGTGAATTAAAGACTGATTTCATAACGACATCCAAAGAAGGAAAGGATCGAACTCTACTACAAGAGACAAATAAAATTTATTCCTGGATGCCGAATATCTTATCAATAAGCCAAAAAGTCTTCAGAGATGATGCATATTTGTTTCCCGTAGTAAAACATTCGAAATTAAAACATGTAAATACATATAGTAGACGTGGTAAAAGAAATGTGGTATCCTTTAGATGAAAAAAAACCCCTATCGCACTCTTTAAAAACTCAGGTATTTAATACGTAAACTATGACAAAAAAATTCTTTTTATTTACTATGTATTGTGTAGACTTTTAATGCCCGTGGGAGGAGGTGGTAGGGGCTGTCTCAAGCTTTTTTAAGATAACTACTTTGATAGTGTAAAAGAGACAATTAATGGCGTCTGCTTAATTGAGGTTGAACCCGAGGCCTCAGGCTTGCCAGTCAAGTGCTCTACCAAATGAGATTAAGGGTTGACATGCTCGCTCAAGCTCGTTTAGGAAGATGAGCACATACAGTTTGTACTACCACAATTGGATTTTTTTCATCTAAATTTTGCTTATTTCCTTTTACTGTTGTCTGCCATTTTCTTGCATTAAAAAGACATAAATTGGAATAGCTTTTAGAGGAAGAGAAGAATTTTTTATTTGAGTGACGTTTTGTTCTTTTGCCCTTGTCAATCATTTCGGTGCCCCCCCCCCCCCTTCTTTTCATTTTTCAAAGATATAGTTTACAATGTTTATTTTCATCATAATGATTAAAAATCTTAATTATTGATATTTTTAAGGGAATAAAATCAAATGTTTGAAAATATATTTCATCAAATCATTACATGTATATAGCTTCACGTCATTTTACGATTTTACGTTATGAAAATTCATGAAGTTACGCACGCGTACACTGTACGTCAAAGAAAATATTCCGTCTTTGTCGTGCGATATTTTATACATTTATACACAGAAATATATGTTATGTTATACATCAAACGAAAGAGAAAAAAAACTCTACAAGAATCAATAAAAAACTGAAAATGTCAAAATTCTTCGTTAAGGGAGGTTTTTGCTTGGCGTGTCACATTTGTATGAAATACCTTGTGTGAGTTTCCCATCTCTTGTATTTACTTCATAAAGTTTGATTTTAATTTGTCTGTTAACCATGTATTCACTATGTATTATGTAAGTTGGTTTCAGTACTGACCGTGAACAGCGATCCAGTCATTCATATCTTCCCCGGGGGGCAGCTTGACCACCTCCTTCAAGTCAATCCCAGAGTTCAGGGAAGCATTCGCCTGTTTGTGTAAATTAAACTTCATGGTCCCTGGTTCAAATCTTTTTTTGGGACGGAATGTCTGTAATCACAAAATACATAAGCATATGAACATAATGAATATAGTGATATTTTATAACAAATATGAAACACATACCAATATACATGTATTTATTTTGTAAATATTATATAAAATTTTCTGACAGTAAGAGATCATGATGGTCTACATTGAAAGACATATACAATGTAGTCCTACGATACAGCTGAAACATGGCTGAAATAATTTGGTGATAACAAAATTACAACCAATCAATCCATTAAGAGGTTAATACAGACTCTAATTCTGGGGTATTTTTATGCTGTAAGTTACCCGTCCTTTGATTTTTAAAGGACAAGGTGTGGTAAGGGCCAATTATAGCCCCTAATATGATGTAAAAATCTGAACAGTTAAGGACATACGCAAGGTACCTAACCTACTGATAATTTTTCAAGATATTCTAAATTTAAACTAATAATACCATTTCATGTTCATAGACAGAAAATCAGCATGTGTTACCAGCGGTTTTGAAAAGATATCAAATTATGAAAATTCTTGCATTATTTAAAGAAAAATGTACCAAAATTATGAAACATAAATTCCAGATATGTTTTTCATCAAAATTTGTTTTAGAAGAGGTGTACAAATCCATATATAGACCTTAAAAGTATTGCACACAAGTCCTTCGTTTAGTGGAACTCTTCAACTCCAGGGAAGAACCCAATAAAGTTCAAACTACGTTGCGTATGACCTTAAAACAGTGATAGGCTGTAGTTAAGAACTTATAAAATAATGATTGTTTTAAAACCAGAACTAATTTTGATTCAAAGCTTACACAGAGGCCACAGATTGGTGCAAAATTGAGACATATTAATGAATTATCTCAATTCTTGTGGGATTCATCAAATTTGCTCTACTTTTGACTTCGAGAAACATAGAGTACAAGCTTGCTTATCTAAGATTTTCATACCCAAGATGTGTCTGATACTAGTTTATGAAATATTATACAGTTATGGAATGGGTACAAGGGAAATAGCAAATTTATGGTTCCCCGAGGGAGGAAACTATTACATAATCACAAATGCATGCGGTTTAAAAGATTGTATGATAACTAATGCATCGTGTCCTAGAACAATAAAATTATTTTTAAAAAGAATTTTCAGACATTTCGAAGAATTATCATTGTCTTCATTTTGCTAGAATTCAAATATGATTTTGACACTGCATGTCGAAATGTTTTGACATCATAGTTACATTGCTAATAACATTACGTCACAGACTCAAGATTCCTTGAACGCTCTGCCCACTGAACTATTTGATAGGTTAAAATTACTAATAAATATTCACGAGGGAGTAGTCCCAGGGAGTAGCTCTGATTTTTCAGGGAGTAGTCCTCAGATGAGGGAAATAGTTCTCTTCTTGGGAAAATAGACAGTTTTATCGTATTAATGTATGTTACATGTATATAGAGTAATAAGAGAAGAGGTATAATAAATTAATTTGGTAAATAGCCAAGCTTGTGCTGTATGTTTTCTGAAACAAAATGAGCTGTTAAAAAATCAATAAACATAGGTAATCAGAGATTACAGAGCTCACCTCAACTAATGTTGTCTTTAAATAAGGCAAAGTCACACAATTAACCAACAAAAAGTGTACATTCCAAAAATGAAAATATTCATGCAATTTTGGTCTGATACTTTGAAATAGACCTATATAAAAAATTCAAACTAGTTCTTTATAAAAATGTAATTAAAATCCAGCATCTGAAGCAAATTTGAGAGTTTTCATCCCTTGATGCATCATTTGTGCAAGTTTGGTTTATACAATGTTATATATAAGCCTTATAGCTTTTTGGTAATAGACCTGCACCCATAACTTTTACCTGGTCCATTATCTGAAAAATGTATGTTGAATTCAGCATCCGAAGCAAGTCCATTAGTGTGCATCCTAAGATATATCATCCATGCAAGTTTGGTCATTAAAGAACTCATAGTTACTTGGAAATGAATAATGCACCAAAAACTTTAACCTGTTTACTCAACCAAAAAATGTAGGTCAGATTCAGCATCTGAAGCAAGCCTGGTATTATGCATCCTTAGACATATCATCCATGCAAGTTAAGTCATTATAGGGCTCATAGTATATTAGAAATGAGACCTGCACCAAAAACTTTAACCTGTTTACTCAACTGGAAAATGTAGGTCAGATTCAGCATCCGAAGCAAGCCTGGTAGTATGCATCCTTAGATGTATCATCCATGCAAGTTTGGTCAACATAGGGCTTATAGTTACTTGGAAATGAAACCTGCACCAAAAACTTTAACATGTTCACTCAACCAGAAAATGTAGGTCAGATTCAGCATCTAAAGCAAGCCTGGTAGTATGCATCCTTAGACGTATCATCCATGCAAGTTAAGTTATTATAGGGCTCATAGTATATTAGAAATGAGACCTGCACCAAAAACTTTAACCTGTTTACTCAACCGGAAAATGTAGGTCAGATTCAGCATCCGAAGCAAGCCTGGTAGTATGCATCCTTAGATGTATCATCCATGCAAGTTTGGTCAATATAGGGCTTATAGTTACTTGGAAATGAAACCAGCACCAAAAACTTTAACCTGTTCACTCAACCAGAAAATGTAGGTCAGATTCAGCATCCGAAGCAAGCCTGGTAGTATGCATCCTTAGATGTATCATCCATGCAAGTTTGGTCAACATAGGGCTTATAGTTACTTGGAAATGAAACCTGCACCAAAAACTTTAACATGTTCACTCAACCAGAAAATGTAGGTCAGATTCAGCATCCGAAGCAAGCCTGGTAGTATGCATCCTTAGATGTATCATCCATGCAAGTTTGGTCAACATAGGGCTTATAGTTACTTGGAAATGAAATATGCACCAAAAACTTTAACCTGTTCACTCAACCAGAAAATGTAGGTCAGATTCAGCATACGAAGCAAGCCTGGTAGTATGCATTCTTAGATGTATCATCCATGGAAGTTTGGTCAACATAGGGCTTATAGTTACTTGGAAATGAAATCTGCACCAAAAACTTTAACCTGTTCATTCAACCAGAAAATGTAGGTCAGATTCAGCATCCGAAGCAAGCCTGGTAGTATGCATCCTTAGATGTATCATCCATGCAAGTTTGGTCATTATAGTGCTCATAGTTACTTGGAAATGATACCTTCACCAAAAATTTAACCTGTTCACTCAACCGGAAAATGTAGGTCAGATTCAGCATCCGAAGCAAGCCCGGTAGTGTGCATCCTCAGATGTATCATCCATGCAAGTTTGGTCAACATAGGGCTTATAATTCCTTGGAAATGAGACCTACACCAAAAAGTGCACCAAAAATGTTAACCTGCTCCAAAAACATTAACCTGGTCATTCCTCTGCTGAAATTGCAGCATCTGAAACTTTGACTGGTACAATGAAACACACTAGAAGCAACTTCCATGCAAGTCTAATCAATATAGGACATAGAAGTACTTAAAAAGAAAACTGCTCCAAAAAACTTAACCTGGGACGCCGACACCGACACTGACGCCGACACCAAGGGTATTACATAAGCTCCCCCAACTTCGTTGAGGTGAGCTAAAAATTGCATTACAATGAGAAAATTCAGAAATTGACATATTTTCTGACTTTTCTGTGACCTCTGTGTAACCTATAATCAAGGACAACTTTGTGTCAGAGGAGACAACTGAATAATCTTTCACATCATTCTAAAAGACTTCCAAACCAGGGGTCTAAAAGTAGTCTTAGTCTATCTTGTCCTTTAAAGCAAACAATTACATTTCTATTTAATTCTCAATTTGTAATCAATTCAAGCATTTTTATTGTCCCCCGCTTTCGCGAAAGCGAGGGGACATTAAATCTCATTCGTCTGTCCGTCAGTCTGTCCGTCTGTCAGTCTGTCCGTCACAAAAACTTTAACCTTGCCCATAACTTTTGATTTAGTGGAGCTATGACTTTCATATTTCACATGTGTATTCCTTGTGACAAGACCTTTCTTTGGGTACCACCAAATTTGAGCTTTTGATCTTGACCTTGGAGTTTGACCCACTTTTACACAAAAATTCCAAACTTTTACTTTGGCCATAACTTTTGAATAGTAGGTACTAGGACTTTCATATTTCACATTAAAAAACTTTAACCTTGACCATATCTTTTGAACCGTGAGGACTAAGGCTTTCGTACTTCACATATGTAATACTCCTGAGAAGACCTTTCATTGGATACCAATAACTTTGACCCTTTGACCTTTACCCTGGAGTTTTAACTACTTTTAAAAAACGTTAACCTTGGTCACAACTTTTTAACAGTAGATACTAGGACTTTTATATCTCACATATATATTTCTTGTGGCAAGACATTTCATTGGATACCAACAACCTTGACCTTTTGACCTTGACCTTGGAGATTTACATACTTATGAGAAAACTTTAACCTTGACCATATCTTTTGAACGGTGAGGACTAAGGCTTTCGTACTTCACATATGTAATACTTGTGAGAAGACCTTTCATTGGATACCAACAACTTTGACCCTTTGACCTTGACATTGGAGTTTTAACTACTTTTTAAAAAAACTTTAACTTTGGTCACAACTTTTTAATGGTTGATACTAGGACTTTTATATTTCATATATGTATTCTTTGTGGCAAGTCCTTTTATTGGATATCAACAACTTTGACCTTTTGACCTTGACCTTAGATATTTACGTACTTATGAAAAAACTTTAACATTGACCATAACTTTTGAACAGTAAGGGCTAGGGCTTTCATACTTCACATATGTAATCCTTGTGAGAAAACCTTTCATTGAATAAAAATCAATTTGACCTGTTGATCTTGACCTTGGAGTTGACCTACTTTTAAAAAAACTTTTTTTACTTTGGCCATAACTTTTTAACGGTCAGGATTAGGGTTTTCATCCTTCCAAAAAAATCAACTTCAATGATAATTTCTAAATAAATGACATATGATAGGATGTTCATATTAGACACAATATGTCATAAAAAATAACATCTCATCCACAAAGAAACCGAAAGCGGGGGACCACAATTCTTTGAATTTGCTTGTTATTTTTGGACTATTAACTTGCATGTATTTTTCTTAATGAGTAAAGCTTATAATAATTATAGTGATTTTCTGCTTGTTCATCAGTGCTTCAATTTTCTTTTTTTTCCCCCTAGGGATTTGGTGTTTGTCAATGTCCAAAGAACATGTTTAAATAGTGTATAATGGTGTACGGTCCTTAAGACACAATTTATGACTCAGAATTATAATCACATATGAATGCCATATGCTACTATCCTCAGCAGTTTGTCCACAGAACAGAAAAATAAACAAAGCCCCCCACACACCAGACAGAACACTGCCTAGAGAACACCATCACTGCATGTAAAACATTGTCTCAGTTAAAACTGTCGAAACATTGGTGAAAACTAAAAACAGCTGCATTCCAGGAATGATTTCTAAAACCTGCTGTTTTTATAAATTTAGATAATGACAAAGGAAGGGTTCATTTTAATCTATTACAATAAAAAAGGAGATTGAATTCAGAAGCAAACATTTTGTTACTAGTCATGTAAACAACTGGTACAGAAATAAAATTGCAAAAATTGATGCAAATGACACACAACTACTCAGGAACTTGGACTTGTGTAACATGTATAACATTACACACTCTTAAAGTGTTCTAGTATTCTGTGCACACACTGGTCAATGTAGTACATGTAATATGTATTTTATATACTTTAATTATCTACTGCATATTATCTCTCCATATTGAATACTTCAGATTAAGAACTTCCCTATGATGACCATGCAGTTTGCTATCTCTAAGAACATTACAACTGTGGAGATCCTTCATATCTCCTTAATTAATGCGTTTCCTCAAATCAGAACAAAAACAAAACTTACAAAATACCTACAGCCTCAGCTGAATAGCCTGTCCCCATCCTTTATCACCAGCTCTCACACAGGAAGAGGCTCGTTCACTTTAACCTAACCACTTCCACTAGTAGCACATGACTCCTAACGATACCTTTATCATTTAATATTACCACATTCTGGAAACATTCCAATTATTTTAGAAAAAAAATGTTTTACAAAAAATTTTTATCATTTTCTTGGTGCTCTTCATCTGTTTACAAGACATCAGTTTGGCAACTGACGGATGAAATACAATATGTATTTAGAGTCTAACTGTGAAAAAAAGATTTATGATTATAAATATTGTCAAGGGCAATAACTTTATCAAAATAACTGTTTCATTTGACTGACCCCCCCCCCCCAAAAAAAAAAAAAAAAAAAAAAAAAAAAAAAAAAAAACAAAAAAACAACAACAAAAACATTTTCTTCCTACAATGATTATTATGCTAGTGAAATCTTTTTCTTCCATTTCATTGATTAATATTTGCTCTGAAATTCTAACCCTGCCAGGCACTGATCATCATGCAGTTGTTTTCTGTTTATCTAGATTATTGAAAAATTCCAATTTAGACCTATATTATAAAATATCTCAGTACAATACATTGTACATAATGCTTGAGTCAGGCCTATTGTGTACACACACTAATCCTTTAATTTCCCTCTGAAATCGCAAGTGATCAGGAAACAGTAATGTAGATTTTTTATCACACTTCCTTTCATATACAATAGTATAGGAATATACATGTTTCAAGAAATGAATGTGTGGGATGTAGTAAGATAAAGTTATACAGTACAAGTGATATCAGACATTGGTAAAAAAAAATTAAAGCTTTTTCTATGAAAATTATGTAGTAAGTTTTGCTGAAGTTTGACTAATAAACTAAATGTATTTGTATTCTTTCAAAAACTTTTTTCCTGGTTGGTAAAATGAATAGAAGATATAGGCCTGAGTCAGATTTTTTTGCTTTCTGATATCACCATTATAAACATGATAAAAGTACCGTATTAGGGATGCCATAATAAGCTGATCAGTTTTGTACGTTAGTTGTAATTTTTTTTGACAGTGTATCTGGTTACTTAAAACAGATAGGAAATATATTTGCAAATTCTTTTCTATTCTTTAATTTTCATTCTTGAAAACCAGTCTTCATTATAAATGCTACACTATGACAATTAGAAGTCATTAGTTTTATTGTCAAAGTAAAAACAGATACCAACATGAAAGTTATTTCACAAACTATCCTTTTATGCTTTCAGATTAAAACCATATTTCACCAGCATACAGTTACTTTTTTTTCTTCTGAAATTTATTCTTATTTTAAAGAAACTACTGGAAAAAAATCCACAAGATAATAAACCCTTGCTCTAGCTGTCAACATATGTTTCTGCATTGTCTCACTGAGGGATACATATTACACTGGGATTTAGTTGTGTTTCTGTTCACATGGAAAAAATTTCAGTCAAAATCTAAAAGGATAATGTTATTAATATCAGCAATTTTGTCAGTAAACAAATACAAATAAGCAGAATTTTTAGCGAGGAGTTAATTTTGGCATTATTAGCGAGGGTGCCAAGATCGCTAAAATTGAATATCGCTAAAATTTAATTGTGCTTTATTTGTAATGGCTTCTATAGTGATCTTTTTAAAATCGCTAAAATTACATCAAGCTAAAAATAAAATACTAGTTTTTAAGGACAATTAAATCACTAAATTTGTGTCTCGCTAAGATTTCCACTTATACGGTAACTGAAGTGTTAATGTATTATGATATTAATACCATAACCATGATAAGACAAAAATGCAGATGTAAATCATGGCACATAATTTTCTGCACACTGTTGATTATAGGCTGAAACGATTCACCGAAATATCGATATTGTTCGATATAAGTGCTCGGTTCAATGTTCGATTCACCATCTCGATTTTCGATACGTTTTTTATAATCGGGTTTGGTTAACTCTTTGAAATAGATCGGGTTCGACCTCATTTTTAACAGTTTGACACACACGAGGGAGAAAATTGGGACGGTAAAGTTTCAGAGTAGGCTGCCTCAGCTATTATTTATACGAATGAAGTGTTCTTAATCAACAGAACCACAAGTATCACAGATGTGCAATTAACAAATTAGTAAATTCGGGCTAGTAAAAATTATAACTACCCATGTAATACATGAAAAGTACAACCGGTATTTTATTCATTTTTTGCTATCAAATTCCCAACCAGTGAATATTTTCCAGGCAGCATGATCCTACTGTCAATAAATCTCCACAATTTTCTCCATTTTGCAGTACTTCCTGACTTATTTACTTCCAAAAACGATCGTTTTTTTTCTAATCCGAATTTCCTCCATTCCTCCGTTTTATTGTAAATACATGCAGGTATCTCATTAAATTATTTACGATCACTCAATCAACTGAAAGATCAGTGTGATTCACTTGAAATATATTTCTAGTGTATTTAAGGATTTAATATGAAAACAAAATGAATTTATTTTGAAATTCATTCTAAACTGCTAAATGAACTAGTGCAAAATAATCAGAAAAGGAAAATCTTCAGATAATTTTTTTTAAATTCATTTTTATTTTCTGTCATAATCATTAATTTTATATGATTTAATTTTAACAGTGAGAATAAAATTTTAATTTTCAAAAGAATGACCATAATACCCTGACTTTTTCAATGATTAATTTTTTTTCAACATTAGTTTTATTTTAATTTTTGTCCCTATATTTTGGGCCAGTAACTTTTTACTTGGGGCTAGTAACTTTATTGCTGCCACTAGCCCGTGGGCTAGTACTTGAATTTTTAAATTGCATACCCCTGGTAATAAATTTCAATTGTATCACCACCTTTTACTCTTTTCTTTTGAAATCTGAATATGTTTTCTTTAACCTTATGAATAGTTTCGTTCTTAAATTGTATCGTATTGAAAAAATTGAATTGTGACACAAGTATTGCAATACGTATCGTATCGTGGAGGGGGCGTATCGTTTCAGCCCTACTGTTGAGAAGAATTTCTCCACTTTCCGGCAATAGTCTTAAAAACTGTAACGTAATGTACTTTATCTGAAGAAATGTTGCTACATGAAAAGTGTGACCAAAGGACAGACAGAAGAATGCAGATGGCAGATGGACATGACAAACGCTATTTGATGGCATAACTCTCTGCAGTAACGTGTTTTAAAATGGCAACAAGCTTACTGACAAATCAGATATATCAGTTTGAAATCGAAATTTCAAGGTACAATGTCTAGTCTGAATTGCTTGATGAATCTAGTGGCCATGCTTGGATTTGTGCATATGAAAATGACATTATGCCAATTTAATGTCAGTGATTTTGAATACCATGTATATTAAAGGTTTAAAACTAAAAGAATTTCAAAAATAAATGACAAAACTGGGAGTAAATTCGTACTGCGGTTGTTGTTAAACAATCGGAAACCTATGACACACGGATACTAACGTGTCATATCTGAAACTGGAAAATAAAATTTCCCAGCAACTAACCCAGAAGTATTAAGGCTGAGTTGGCAACATCAAAACCAAGAATATTTTGATTGTGGCCTTGAGGACATGACATATTTAAATTACAAACCAATAAGGCCACGACATATTTAAACTACAAACGAATTCACTACTGGTAAAAGCTGTACAAAGATAAGACACAAAACATCATGGATTGCACTGTCAAAGAGTCAAATCATAACAGAGAAAATAAATCATTAAGTGGTCTTATATCATAGAATATATGTCTCAAGATCACAACGATAAGCATATTAAAAGCACGACCTGCGTCACTGACGTGTATTTTACTATTCTATTTTCTAATATCCATTATTCAAAGAGCAGGCCTAGTGGAAAGTTATTAGATAATTATTTACAAAAAATCTCGTATCATAATTAAACAGCAAAGATGTAACTTTCGTCACGAAAGCCTAGATAGAATGAAGTGAAAGTTAAAAACTTGAATGTAAACAAACCACTACACAAAACTTTCAGAGTTATTTCAAAGTCCTAGTGAACTGCTTATTTTTCGAAAGTGAAAAATAGTTAACATAGTTTAAAAAAATTATTTTAAATATCCATATTCCATTAAATATTACTCACTTTGTCCCGAGAGAAAAATTGTGAGAAAGTGCTCTTCGAAGACATGTTTTCCTTTTTCCGGTAACGCATGCGCGTGGTGCCAGCTATTGCGTTGCCTATTTACCCAAGTGGGTCCCATATTGACCCAATTAGATCATAATGCAAAAAAAAAAAAGAAAAACATTAAAAAAAAAACAAAAGAGACAAAAAAAAATCAATCGAACAAAGAAGTCCCCGTTGATATTGTTTGAGAAGAAGCAAAGCAAGAGCAAAGTAGCAAATATGAAATCCCTATTTCTTCTCAATCAAAAAATATACGGAAAAATTAACATTGTTGAAAATTAAGTCAATTTTCAAGGACAATGTCACAAGATTAAAAAAAAATCGTAATGTATTCAGAAAGGTCTTGCCACAAGCAATAAACAGGTCTAATATGAAAGCCCTATCTCTTCTCATTCTAAAGATATGACCAAGGTTTTTTTTTTTTGACGGATGGACAGAACTATACAGACTGACAGACAGACGGACAGACGAATGAGATTTAATGTCCCCTCGCTTTTGCCAAAGCAGTGGACAATAATGATCCTTGATTTATTCTCTTTTTGTGTCAAAATAAAATTGTAGGATGAGCAGGAGTTTAAAAAGAATTTTACAGAAATTTTTAATTTCGGTAATTATCACGTGACCATGGCAGGATTGTTCACCGAAATCATAAAAAATGTTTCTACTGTTCCAAGTTCTTCTGAAATCTAAACAACTGTAGAAGGAGTATCATTTTGAAAGTTTTCGATCACATGATCTTCTATTTCTTGGAGCCTCAGCAATGGTGCATCAAATGAACATTCACCGGAATTAAACACTGATAAACAGAATAGCATATCTTAGTAAAGTCTACTTGTGTGACAATTAAGTTATATATTGCAATATCAGACCAAAACTGCAGGAAGAATGGAGGAGTATATATGGAACGCCAAACTCACAAAAATGAGCTAACCATAGTTTCACAGTTGATAATCTAGATTAATCGA